CCACCTCAGAGCCCCTCTTCTAAACCTGGGCCTTCCATCCATCTCCACTTGTGAAATCCAAGTTTCACAAACCTTTGAACCAACCTTGAATAAAATCACCACACAGACAAGGGTTCAATGTCACACCTTACCCGCAGCTCCCCTGAAATCCTCAGCTGTCCTGCAGGATGAACAGTCTTCCCAAAACATTGCCAGAGACTTTCACATCTCTCCTGAGAAGGACCCTTGTCCACTCTTACACCCAGGTCTCTATTACAACTCACTACACTTTTATCAACAGTCTTTAGGCTCCCACCCCCCAACTCCTTCTGCTCACTGAGCTTAAGTAATGATGAGCACTTGTGCCCCCCTGGCAGAGCCTTTACTGCCTCCTGAGTTTAATGCACACCACCAATACACCTGATGCTTGAAAAGGGGCAACATGGGAGCCTCCATTTTCACTGTCCTCCATGGCAAGGCTCTATCTGCCAAGACCACTGGTTAGGAACAAGTTTTACAGGAAAGCTGCTGAGAGGCTTTTCATCCAAATGGGTATTTTACTTTTAATGAGCTATTGCTCATTTTCGTCCACAGTGCAGCGCTTTGGAAAACATGTCAATCACCTGATTTTTGAAAGCCAAACCAAACTGTTTTAACTTTGCAAAATATAACTCTTTGACCAAGAAAGGTGTGGAGCATCCCAGGAAAAGGAGCATTTAAACCAGCCCATCTCTTCCTCTTTTCTTTTTACTATCAAAGCAAGCTCTGTGCTGCGGTGATCTTCCCAATCCCATTGTTTGTTGCACATGATACGTTCTTGGACAGGGTCACTGAAACCAAATCTCTTTACCCCCCCAGCATCTGGACATGTAGTTGGGTTTTTCGGTTTGGATTAGGCATATGACCTTCTAAGGAAATAAACCACAGCACTGAAAGACCCAAATAACTTATTCAAGCAAAACTTGATAAACAAAGGAACATGAAAGCTCTTCTGGATCTGGTATTGAATGCCTTGCAATGGTAGAAAATTGTGTAATCAGAGCAGACTGTCAGGAAAGAGCAATCTGTACACTGTGCCACTACATGTGCTGGATGAATAGGAGAGAGATGTGTGCCCCAGTAGAGGGAGGCTTCAATGCAGTTTTTTGCTTTTTGTTTTGTAGCCTGCACTGGAGAAGGGAAGGACCAACTATGCTGAAGCTGGACACAACCTCCACAAGCATAGCTATAGAAAAAACCCTGTAAGCTACACCATATAGCTCTCTTTTTGCCGGGGCAGGTTATGCAAAAGCTCCAGCTTCTGTTTCAGCAGAGATTAGGACCATTTAGGGACTGCCCTCAGTTTTGTAGGCTGTCTCTAAAGTGCTGTCAATTAGTTTGCAGTAGCTATTCTGGCCTATATGTGAGCCAGGCTAGAAAAAAAATGCACAAAGGAAATGGGACAGATTTTCTCTCTGCAAGCAAAGGAGTGGACATTATGAGCTGGTTACTGCAGCTCTGTGCCTGCGGGAAGTGTGCCATCTCGGGAAAATATCCAGTGGAGAAATGTGACTGTTTTCTGCTCTACCTGTGCTGCCATGGGGGAACAGGCCAAAGATCCTGGCTTTGGCTTTGCAAGGGCAGAGGGAGATGTGGAAGATGAGTGGCAGATGGGGAAGAAGCTATTCACCTATGTCCACTCCAGAGAGCAGAAGCCATGTACTGGCTGTGTTGTTTGCACTCAATTTCATATCTCAGGATATATCCCCAAAGCACAGGAACTCATGTTAAGAAATGCAGAACAGTTGCTAGCAACACCCAAAAAGTGAAAAGCAGATGAGAGTGAGCAACCAACTGCTTGATATACATTAACAGCATTTTGTTATTTCTATCATTGTGCTATTCCAAACAGTCCTTCAGCATCAAGAAAAGTTGGGTGAGTTTGGGAGGAGAGAAAGCACTGCTTAATACAGGTGGACAAAGGAGGTAGAGCCTGCTGTAGCACAAGCTGTGACACAGGGAAGTTAGGGTTAGTACCAGGAAAACTTTCCCAGCAGAGGAATGTATAAGCATGCAGAGCCACATTAGTAAAAGCAAGGAGATAAACCTGTAATAAAGAACATTTCACATCATTAATCAACATTGGAGCATATACCCCATTTGCATTTGTCTCAGATAGTTGGTAGGACTCATCTCATTACAGCTTCTTCCTTAACTGCATATGGCCATATGGCTCTGAGCTTTCTTAGTCAGCATTTCTCCTTTAAATAGCTGGTATATATAAAGATACGGTCACATCGGGTGCAAGGAGAAATTTGGATATGGCCTGAGCAAGTGTCAACCCTATTTATTCCCTATTCCTTCTCTGCTGGAGCAAGGAAAAAACAGGGAAGCCTGTCCACCAGCCTCTGCCTACAGAGCAGGCACTGAAATCCAAAACTTAATGGAAGCCCAGGCATTTTGCAAGGGTAAGTAACCCAATGCATGGAGCCAGTATCTCCCCAAAAGGCTTTTCCCTTAGCTTAAGATTTAATAAACCTAAGCAATTTGTTTCATTAATTAATAGCTCAATAACTGTCCTTAAAAAAGGAAGAGACACAATTGTGAGGGAAGAAATACGAGGTGCTCCCAAATTATGGGAACAGCAGCTTTGAGGATGGCCTCACCTCTGCTGGTTCCTAGGCAGACCTTATCTCTCCTCCTTCCCGAGCCCAAGGTGATGCAGCCCAGCAGTCTGCAGCTCAGCATGGATGTGGGGAGTGTGCAGAACCCAGCAGCCATTCCTACACACCAGCCATTTTCCAGCAGGCATCGAGGAAAAGGTGGGTGCTGAGCAGTCGTGCTCTAGCTACCAGGGTATTTTCCACCAGCCCGTGAGAAACACATCCTCAAATGCTCAGCTTGCTTATGTCTTTCTGGTATTATGTAAGTGGATTTAGAGGAGAAAGCACTGCCATGAGCAGGGTTCTAATTAGGAAAAGAAATAAACAGAATTATGGAATTAAGGCAGAACCTCAGCATGAATGACCCAAATCCCTTCCTTGTGCTGCAGTCCACAGCACGCTATTAGAAAACATTTTCTCTTTTTTTAGACAAAGTTAATTTATTGCTAAGGTGGCAGAGCAAAGGCAAATTCCTTTGCAGGATGGCACCCACTCTCCTCAGCTGCTGATCCCACTTAATATGACTCTTGTATGTGCAAAACCCAATGTTTTAGGAAGTAGGGTGCTCTGCAATGCAAGCAGTGTTTCCCTCACTGCTGAAATACCAGTAGCAATGGGGCATACCATAGTTAACCATTTCCTAATTTGCCCTGACAACTTTCTGTTGGTCCAAGCATGCAGACTGTCATTACTCCTCAGAGTTGCCTACAATGAGTTACCTACTCTGACACTGGGTATAGGTCTCAAGAAGAGTGGCTTTCTTTGTGGAGATACCAAGCATCCACAAGTCTCTCAAGAGGAGATTAGAGCACCCTACACTTTTCACAAATGAGGCCATATTTATCTAAATACTCAGTTGCAGATTAAAGTGCCTATTTTATAAAACATTGGCTAGCAAAACTAGCCATTGATGGTTCTCAAAGGAGCAATTTGAAATTTGGCAAGGAATCTTAAGTTTTCCACTCACAGTACTGCCACCATCTACAGAGTGGTTTACATGGCATTTGAATCCCTAAAGGCATGGTTGTTCCTTTAGATGGTTAAAGAAGCAAAGCAGATACCCAGGATGTTGTGCTGTTGGTTGGAAAGCTCACATCCTTCGTAAATCAGCTAATGCATGAAGAAGCCAGACTTATTCTTTATATATGAAGGCACTATATCCCTATAACTGCTATGTTATATGATGTAAAATCTCTGACAGATGGAAAATGTGCACTGGTTTGATAGGATGATAGAATGTTTTCTGCACTGGTCTTTTTTCTGCTGCGCCAGTGCTGTGGGAGCTCTCTAGGCTTTTTCCCTACTATAGCAAGACTACAGGGCTGAAGTGGGAAAGGGACACCCCAGTTTTCCTGCCTACTAAGAGAGCTTGCCAACTGTGTCACACAGCTGAAAGAACATAGCTACTGCAGGGAAACGCCCTGCTCATGGCAGTTTAGGTCTGGGACTAATCTTTGGCAGTCACTGGCATGCACAAACTTGAACTGTGTGACAAGGAATCCAGCAAAGCTCATTAATAAAATACCCTGCATGACTGCCCAAAGCACTGGGCAGTTAGTTGAAGTAGCCTGAACCCTAGTAGCCAACCACAAGTACAGAGACACAGCAAAGGAAACAACTGGTTTTGGGAAGCTGGCTCCAGGCAGAATGTCCCTGGTAGCAGAGGCACCATGCAACCACATTATCTCAGTGTCTGTTCCACTCCTCTCCCCTTGCTGTAGGAAAGAGTACACCAAGGTGGGGTCCTCATGCCCCCTAGATGTACCCAGGCACACAGAATACCGTACCTGTAACGCTGCTGTTTCAAAGTACTTCACTGCCATAGTCTGTTATCTTATGCTTTTTTGCACTATTTGCACAAAGCTTTATTTCTTTTTTGGGGAGGAAAATGGTTCAGGTTACTCTGATGCTGACACTCTCAGCTTTCTGCATGGTGTGAAGGCATGCTGGTGGATAGTGGTGACAATTTGCTACAGCAGTGGCACCTCAGGGTTAAAACGCTGCCCTTTCCACCTTGGCTCCTGGGGTGCTGAGCTGGATGAATAATGTGTTGCTGTGTGGAAATGGGCTGCTGAAAGGCACAGTGCATTCATGTGAAAGGGTAGAGTATCAGCCCCACAGAGAAGCCTGTGCTCCCAAACAGCTCTGAAAAGACAAAACAGCACTTATACAGAAGGAAGCAGATGGGTATCTTTTCTGGCAGGGACAGCACATGATGGCTTCTACCACACCAAGCTTTGCAGGGTGCCAGGTCTCAGGCCTGAATTCAGAAAGCCCTTCACAGCTGCTCTGTGTTACATTCACAGATTTAGCCAGAATGGCCACACTTGAAAGTCCTTTCTTTCCCCATGTCAGCCTACAAACAGAGACCCAGAACAGTTAAGACAGTGTTCATTTTATTATACTTGGCATGGAAACCAGGAGATGTAAAACAGCAAAACATTAAATTCCTAAGGGACTCGATCGGGTGGGTAACATTGCTTTAGTAGCACTGTAAGTCTTCTTCACATGCAAACTTCTGTTGCTATGTCTTGAATGCCACGACACACCTGGAAGCCTAATACTAGCTTTACTTCGTACAGTACATCACGTTCAGTCAGTGTAACTATAAAAATAATAAAGCCACGATAATATTAGTTGTCATTAGAAGCCCCCAAGTTGTTTTTCTGCTGCTGCTGACTGATTCATGGCTATCATTTTTGTGGCGCTTGCAACAGTCAGGAATTCAAAGTTCACCTACTCTCTCTCCCTTTAACTCTGGGTAGAAACTCCCGACACTTTTCACTGTGCAACTGAGACCTTAACTTCAGAAGTGATTTTATGTACCATGAACACATAGAGCTTTCTCTTCCGATTTACTGAAATTCCCCAGGGCAATGTCTAAAGTTGTGTTTCCTGTACTTGAAACTAATGATTATGAATTGGGCTAAGGGAAATACCAGGAGGACACTCAAGCAGGGTTGCCTATTGTAACAGAGCTCCCGAGAAGCATCTGAGAGACTCATATTCTGCAGCAGACAAGTGCTGGCAAGACTTTGCTGGCAGAATGGTCATTGATTTCGACTCCAGAGAGTGTCAGTCTAAGCAGAAAGCTAAGAAAAACTTAAGATCTGATACTTCAAATGGGATCCAGTTGACATGGTTTTTAGTCCTAATGAGCTCAAATGCTTGCTGTCACACATAGTTTGTGTGCAGAAACTGCTCTGTACATGTAAGTGCGGATTTCCACAAAACTCAAGAACCAGTGTACATCTCTGCACACCCCAGCCAATGTACCTTCTGCTGAAAGTCTAGGCACAGAGACTGGCTAGCTGGTGGGTTTTTTAGATATGGCTGTTTAGAGACCCAATAAGGAGAGAATCACTGTTTCCGTGTTGCAGAGTGATTTAACATGACTCAAAGCTGTGGAAAATGCTAAGCCTCCAGCAGTCAATCAGAAGGGCAAAGGGAAAAAGCATAATCTTGGAGTATGAGTAATGCATGAGACCTGTGTACTCTCACACTCCTTTTAAACATGGACACATGCATACATAACCTTACCTACAGTGAATGTTTTCCTAGAGGAAAAAATATTTCCTCTCTATGTGATTCGGCTCAGTAATAACATCATTTTCTTCTTTAAAGAAGCCTGAATGATGAAAGAATGTTTCACATTGCAAATCTCCCTTGCCATGATTTGATGCAAAATCCACATTAAAAGGATACCAATTTCAGTTTGGTCCATTCAGCTCTAATACTTCATTCTTTTAAACATCTACACTGACTCAAGTGGGATAATTTAGGCCCATAAGAGAACACTGCAGCCGTTCCAGTGGTGTAGAAGGATAGACACAGTACGAGACAGCAAAGCTAATAAGCTAGTAACATTTTTAGTTCCATAGAAACCTTGTATATACTGACCTAAGTAATGAAACACTGGTATGGCAAATTTCATCAGGTTTCCAAACTGAAAACTAGTGGCAGCCAAGTTGAATTTTTCATCAACTTCAATACTGATTTTCATTCAGATTTCCACTTCTAACACTTCAACATAGCAATGAAATTCAAGATAAAAACTAGTGTTATCTTTAGAGCATATATTCACCTTTTCTGAGTCCCTTGATTATACTTCTCCAAACAGTGCATTTTACAAGCTCTTAGGTGGCAGTAGCAGTAATAAACTGAGGTTGTTTGCCTAGTGGTTTTTTTTTTAAATTGCATTTGTATATGTCTGTACACACTAGCAAAATATACAGCCTTTAGAAACGTTAATTTTCCTAAAAGCCATGGGACACTGACAGTATGACAAAAGTGTGTGCTCAGAATAAGCAAATGGGCAAAACGCTGGCTTTACAGACATAGGATTGGGAATTCCTTGTGAAGCATCTGCATCAGCTTCCTTTTACTTCTCTTTTGGTCCCTCCCTCCCGTCTTGTATAGTCAAAAGAAGGTTTTCTTCCTCTGAAATAGAGAAAGCAAATATTCTCCTCCTTGTCCCTCCAGCTCTTTCCACACTCTTTTCAAAATCAAGTCAGCAGAAAAAAGGCAGGATTTCAGCACTTGTGCCCACAGCAACACAAAGCTGGCAGACACCAGACAAGTGGTGAATGTCAAAGCCTCATACGAAATCCAGGACTATATTGCAAATTGCATGCAACAAGATTCTCCTTCAACTCAGGATTTGTATTGGTGACATTGAAACATGCTTAGTCTCATGCTCCTAAAGTGAAATTAGAAGTAACTCTTCCATTCTCATTCACTGCTTTTATTAATGGTTCTGACCATGTCAAACTTCCCAGAAGATCCAACCAACAGGGAAGAATTTCCTGACAATTAGCTTGTTTCACAAATTTCTCATCTTAACAAACAGAATTTAAGAGTTACTTCAGCTGGCTAGGTTGCAACACAGGTTTCTCTTGTTTTTTTTTTCAATACAGATTTACTCTTGGGAATGACAATGTCCTTTCTGTTTTGAATCCTCTTTTTATTAGCCCAAATGGATTTCCTTGGTTGTTAACCATCCAACCAAATAACATGATTCTGGTTCACTGGGCAGAGAAAGAGAGGGTAGTGGTGGCACACAGATCATCTCCCCCTACCCTTTGCCATACTACTATGCCCAGCATGCTTCCATTTTTGACAAGAATAGTCCTTCTTGACTGCTACAAGACCACCAGCAGAATATTTGCTGTTTGCTACCCAAAACATAGTTCTGTTTTGCTGCTGGTGAAATATGCATCATCCGCATGAGGATTTACGTCGTTATCTAGAGATTCTATGCAAGAGAAAGCATAAATTACCAGTGTTAAACTAACAGGTTGCCTACTGTCTGCCCTAAGCAAGGCAAAGTGAAAACCTATAGTATTTCCCATGAGATGCACTGGTGATTATTGACTTGTTTTTGTGCGCTGGGTTTTGGCACATTATTGCTTGGCTTCAAATGCACCCCTGCAGGACTTCTGTGCCCAGCAGGCAGCATCACTGACATTCTGCTGTTTGTCTTTGCACTTGTCTTTACCAGAGTACAAAAGCACAGTGCTCTGCTGACCACTATGTTTTTTCCAGTTATGCTCATGCAGTTGTTATGGTGTAACTTAGTAACTTGTCCATTGGTGTTTTGCAGCACGTATGTATTGATGAGATCTTCCTGGAAGAAAGGTCATTTGGGATAGGGAGGGAGGTGTGTGTGGTGAAGACTCACAGATGGAAGCAGCTGCAGGGAACAAGGACGGACCTTCCATTCCTCACAAAGAAGAGTTAATTCTAGTGCTGGCCCAACACCCTGCTCATCCGTTGCCAAACCCAGTTTGGTTCAATAAAGAAACTTATACCCATATGCTGGAAATATTTCGGAGAGCTTAAGCTAAAGGATAAAATTCATGGAAAGTGGTGAATGTGCAATAGCCATTTATTCTCCTCTGGAAAAAAAATATGACAATCCATTTATATATTCAGACTCAGCATATTTGTAAAGGGGCAGTTCAGAATAAGCCGGCTCACAATGGTACAAGCGAGTGGGACAGCAGCAAGAGGGATGCAAGCTGAGCCAAGGGACATCTTTTCACAGGAAGACAGGCTGGGCAGCAGCTAGCAAGGGAAGGGGCAGAAGGTAGGCAAAAGGAGCAGCAAAAAGCCTTGGACCTGGAGAGGACACAGCAAACACTTGCAGACAAGTTGGGGAACCTCTTCAGGGCTGACAGATGCAAAGTGGTAAGAGACACCGAACTTGTCAACTAACCTGACCTAATGATACTGCCAATGTTAATCCCGCACAAAACTTCACGTGAAATAACACATCTCAGACGCTTCTAGGGAGGGGACGGAAACAGTAGTACTAACAGAAAAAGGGCATGAGACTTTCCTCCTGCAGGCAGAGGTGAGAAGACACTCTCTAATGTGGTATTTCAGAATTAACAATTCAGCATCAAGTGGGAGAGGACTTGAAGTAATGTACAGAAATGGAACAAGAACGTGCTATAAAGCCTCCAAATATATACCAGACGAAACCTCGGAGTCAATTCAATACAACATCTATGGGCAACACCTTGCAGTGAACTTGGTTAAAATACTGTATCTTACAGCATTTTACCTCTCTGCTGGGGAAAAATTGCCCCAGACAGCTGCTTTGAAGCCTTGGCAGTTGATACACTCAAAAAGTCCAGCCTCCTAAATAAAAGGGTACCACCTAAGATCTGCTTTACAGAAAAAGAAAAAAAAATATTAATACTCATTTACACTGTGTAAACCTGTGATATTTACAGAGTAAGTCAGGTGTGTAGTACTACAGACAGAAATAAATTATCAGCATGATTCATGAAAAACCTTTAATGGAATAAAAATAATGCCTATTTAACTCTAGTACGCTGCAGAATTACAGTATCCAAATCTGCAGTGCTTTGTCGGATTGAAACCTAAATTTTCTACAGACCGCAGGAGTTCTCCAGCTTCCCATCATGAACTCTAATGGACAGAATAAAAACCAAGTGGGAAACACACTTCCCAGGTTGAAAAATATTATTAAGGTGAGAAATGTAACCAACGTACATTTAAGACATTATTGTATATCACATTTGCGGAGAAACAGTCACTAAGCTACTTTTTATTAGCAGTTTCTACAACTTTTCTAACATCAGAAATACATCAAAGATTGTCTCAAGATTTCAGTACTTCTGTAAAGTAAATGTTTCAAGTTAACAATGTAATGGTTTATAATATAGAGAGCATTAGGTAAAACAAAATACGCACAGGCTAAATAAATGGTATTCAGTTTCTGAAAGGCAGCAAGAAAAGCACCAAAATACTGCAAAAGAAGTAGAATTGGCTAAGGACTTTAAAGGAGAAATCAGTGTAACACACTAGACCAGTAGGCTCATGGACCCAGATGCACAGGATAGCCTGCTCCTATGGGAAAATGGTACTGTGTATCTCTGGAGAGAGAAAAAAGATCTACATCACTTTAAAGAGTGATTTGGATGAGAGGTGCTCAGTGCCACAGGAGGCTGGGAGCAGGGGCTGCCCACCCCAGCTGAGGAGCTGTAATGGCTCACTGCTTTTGAAAGACTTGGCTGGAGTGCCACAGCATGAGAGAGGGCACCGCACTGTCGGATGCAGGTACATCTACTGATATGTTCTCTCGTGCCTTGCGTGCCCTGTGTGCATCGCCTGCTTACACTTTAAACATGTCTGGGGAGACAAAGCCCATAGAATATATCACCCTCTCACCTCCCCTTCTAGCCATAAAAATCCCATTGACTTAACTTCTCCCAAAGAGATAATCCTTCAGCCTGGCTCTCCATTTCAACAGGAGGGGAAGACCCTGCTCTCTGGGGCTTACAAGAGAACAATGCCCCGCAGTATCAACAAAAGTGAGACTGCTTGGGGATCAATGTCCATAACCTTTTCAGACTTGCCTCAGCGTGGGTAACTTACCAGGAAAGTTGTCTTGCATTAGTTCTTTACAGCTGTTGAACCTTAGCTTCACCTTACCCGGCTTCCCCCAGCCCACCCCTTTGTGTAAGACCTCGCGATGCACATAAATAACTTCCCATAATACTTATGACAATCTCTCTGCTTCTTGCTGTATCAGAAGGTGCTGCTGTCTCTGCAGCAAGGTGTCAATTTAAGTTTGTGCTTTTGCTAAGTGCCTAGCTTTTCATCTGACAGCAGTTGGGATGGGGGTGTAAAGTGGAAACACACCAGCTGTGGCAATAATAACGGCATTATGGAGCGCGTGGCTACTTAAAAAACAAAAGGGAACAGTTTTCCACTGTTGCTTCATCACAACCCCAATAACACAACAGCAGGACTCAAGACTTGAGGGCAGGGATTCTCTCTACCATCAGAGACATCTATGCACCCCTGCAAACCACGTCAGTCTAACACAGAAGAGGGAGCAGGTCTCACGCAGCAATTGGGACGCCTAAAATTCTGCAGCATGGACTGGAACATGTTGTGCTGCCTCCCTTTCAGTTTTTTATTTGAGGATGTATCCGAAGAAATGGATTTCCGGGTCTGACTGTTCTGGGCCCGGATCAGTTTCTCATGTTCCCGTATTTGTCTCTGTAAGTGGTTTTGGATGGCAATTCCCAGGGATTCTGGATCGAGGGAAGCACCATAAACCTCCCATGTCATGCCCTGCTCATCCCAAACAACATCCCTGACGTGTTTGGACTGCTTCACCTGCACTTTTGCCTCCATGGCTGGGGTGGGATGCTTTTTGTTTTCCCCCAGGTTTGGTAAGGCCTGAACTGAAGCAGGATGAGCTGCTGTGTGAAGCTCGCGTCTGGACTCCTTGGCATGGAGGCCCTGCTGCTGGGGAGCTGCTGATGCTTCCAAAGAAAGGGTGGAATGTGCAGAGCTCACACTCAACTTAGGCATCAGTCCTGCCTGCAGGCTCTGGCTGCCGACTGTCTGAGCCTGGCCAGTGTCTTCCTGTCTTCTGCTCTCCTTTTCACCTGCATCCTTTGAGGACGCCTTTATGTGGACAGCAGCAGGTTGGCTGCTAACGTTCATCTCTCCTTTAGGATCAAGCACCATTGAGATTTCTTCCTTTGGTTTTACCATGGATTGATTAGGAATGGCCTCCCCTTGACTCAAACCCTTACTTTGTGCAGGCTTTTGCTCAGAGCTGCCCAGGACTTCCTTCTCCTTGACTTCTCTGTCAGTACTACAGAGTAAAGATAACTGACTGCTTCGTGCATCATGGACAGGATCTTGCACATTGCTCTGGATTCCTGGGGCAGCAGCAGGACAAGTGGTGCTTGGTTCACCAGCACCAGACCCATACTGTGCTGGAGTTTGATTACTGGAGTCAACTACAAGCAGCCCAACAGGGATGGGCTTTGATGGGACTGGAGCATCCACTGGCAGCTGAGCAGCACCCCTGCCTTCATGGGCTGCACCCATCATTTCACCATTACCCCCAGATGTCTCTTGGGAGGTAATGGCTGCTGGGGACATGGGGAAAACAGGTTTTGCATTATCTGCTGACACTGGAGACACCACATCAGATGGGACCCCAGGCAGTTTGACAGTCTCAGTTTGGGCTGAAGCAGGCACAGCCATAACAACTGTTGATTTTGATGTGGTACCAGGAGAACATGGGGACTTCTGCTGTGAAGATAAACTGTCAGTAAGCGCACACTGGCTCAGCCCCATCCCTCCTTGGTAAATTATGTGCAGTTCTTCCTTCTCCTCTGGAGGAGGATTCCCTTTTAGGAAGGCAGCAAGGATGCTGGGACTGGTGGAGGCTGATTTGCTCTCCACAGTAGCCACGGCCTGAACCTCAGCATCTCGCCATGTCCTGCTTACTGCTTCCTGAGTTAAAGAGCTGCTCTCTGCCTGAACCGTCATTGTACCTGTTTCTCTGAATCTGGAGAGCTGGGTAGGGGCTGGATTCCCCAGCCCAGGGTCTGCGCTGGGCACGGGATGCTGGCTCTCGTGGCTAGACTGGGCTGGTGCCTTGCTGCTCTGCACCTCTTCAGTCTTATCTGTGGGATGCAACTGCGTGGTGTCTGTAGCCCCACTTTTTGCCTCCAGACTGGTCTGTGGGCCTCTTCCCAGGGCAGCTTCTGTGTGCCTTGCTGACTTTTCCGCTCCCCTGTCTTTCTCCCCTCTTTGCAGAAGGTTTGCCTGAGAAGCAGGACAGGACTCATTACCCCTGACAGGGTCACCTGGGGAAGGATAATTCAACACCTCAAGTGCTGGCTGATCATCAGTCCCCTGAGGTTTCAGGACAGAGTCATCTATTTGTGTCAGGGAGCTTGTTTTCGCCTGGCTGCCCTGCACAAACTGCCGGGAGCTCTGTGGGGCTGGCATCATCTCTGGCCCACACCCCGACAAAGGGGCTCCTGCTGCAGAGGGTGCCGCTGCTGGTGGTCCAGCAGGCTCTATGGATGCAGGACACCCTTCCACAGCTTTGCTGGAGATACCAAGAGGAAAGGCTTCACGCTGGTTAGCATCGTCCTCGCAGCATTGCTCACACCTCTGTGTGCTGGCAGCTGCTGTGCGTTTCAGGTCAGACAAGCAAACTCCAGCAGAGCTGGATGGCGTGCATGGGAAGCCATTGCTGGCCTTCTCTCCACTGGGTAACTGGGGCTGGTGCTTAGCAGGATGCCGGTCTCCCAGCTGGTCCTCCTCCGCAGATGCTGTGGCCAGGGAAAGCTTGGCAGATCTCAGAGGATCTGGTACAGTCCCCATGGACTGTCTCAGAGATGCGGTTTGCCCTCGGCTTTCTCCTCAGAGTGTTTTTGCCAGGCGGTGGATACAACAGGGCAGGCTGTCAGCCACAGGTTTCATGTAAAGCTAATCTGTTAATGAAAGAAACACATGGTTAGCAGCAGTCAGATTTAAGGAAAAAGAAGTACCCAGAAATCATTGTTTTAGAGCTTGGAAAGAAATACTTGCAGGCAAAGTGGAAGTAAAGCATCTGGTTCTGCGTAGGAGCCACATAAAAGATATGGATTTCAAGGATCTCCCAACTCCAAGATCCAGATGGAGAAGACAATACAGGGGACAAAGCCATAACAGCTTCCCTGTTGCTGATACATTAATGAAAACATAATGACATGCCAAGAGGGAGGAAAAAAACCCACAAATATGAAGTGAAAGTAGGGATTAAATGGGAAAGGGTGCAGACTTTGTGGGGAAGTTTGAGGTCATAAGATAAACTCACTGATAAAATCCTCTAGACAGCCACCTGTGGAAGGAAAGGTACTATCTTGCCTGTTGTGCTATGTGAAGAACAGATCCGATTCCCATTGTGTGATGTGAGTGGATCCCACGCCTTTGCTGAGCACCAGTTCCCACGTCTTCTCATGGAAAGCCCTTCTCTAACTCAGCTACCAACAAGGACATGCTCATAGGGGCAGCGGGTCAACTCAGACTAATGTGGATGAACCCAAACCTCACCAGTAAAAGGAATGTGGAGTGACAACCACCTGCTAGGTGATGCAGCTAAACACCAAGAGAAGATTCTGCACTGCACTGGAGCTGTGCGCATACCTACTGCTTTCACATTTAGATCCATCAAAATAATTACAAGGAAGCCAGCTCGACTAATAAACAGGGCCACAGATGATCTAGAAATCAATTTACAAGCAGGTGGTATGAAACTGGAAGAGGAATGTTGCAGCACCACAGAACAGGAGGGGCTTATGACATACCCAGTGGCATGGGGGAGGGATTTAAAGCAGGTGGAGCAGAGTTATCCAGATTGAAAACCAGCCAGGACTGCAGGGAAACCATTGCTTCAAACAGGTGGTGATCTCCAAACGTGCTTGTTGGCTGGGCTTTTGAAAGGACTTACAAGTGCTCAACTCAGACCCTGATGGAGGTCAAGGGCTGGATCCCTGTCTGTGTCAGCAGAGTGGTGGTGGCCAGTGATAAAAATTCCATCCCAGTCATCATTTAAACTGCAGGCTAACTATACTTATTTAAAAGGCTTTCCCCAGATTATGCTGCCAGCAAAGCACAGGTATGAGACCTGGGAGACGGTCTGAACATTAAGTTTTGTGTTAACCAGAGGGATGACAGTGGGAAAACTACTGAGCCTCTGTGTGCCCATGTCTCCACAGGCACACAGCAGGGTTTTCCTTGCTGCATTACTTGGGAGATGCTGCTGGAAGGATCTGTGCAATGGCTCAGCTGTTCCTGACCCTCCCTACCCACTAGCAAAAGTCCTTTCCAGAGAACAGCCCTCATCTCCTTTCTCTCAGCATGAATGGCAGCAGAACTTCCTTACTTTCCGTAAAATCAATCCTAAATTCGAGCACCTCATGGTACTTAAAGAGCAACAGGAGAAAAGTGGTCAATGAAAGGAAAAATAAAACAAATACAGCAAATTATTTTTCTAAGAAAAGGAAAATGCTGCAACTTATTTCTTATTCATGAAGTTTTATGTCTTCCGGATAATGATGATTTATTATTTTTATACTGTCTCTTTGGGCTCTGTCCATCCACAGATTCACACAGTCTGCTGGGCTATGTGAGCTCCGGGAAACTCTGATCCTGCCCCTGAAGGACCCCGAGTGTCTTAGTTTCAATCTGTGATCACAGCCCTGCATCCCTCCAAAATGGCTTTCCAGCAAGGTTAATGACTGACAAGCTTTTTGAGAAGTACTAAGTTTATGTAAACCAGACTGCAAATCAGTGGAAATTTGTGTCTGCCTACAAGATATCTTCACTTCATTTTGTGCTCACTTTAAAGCCAGCCAGTGTAGTCTTGAAGGAAAGGAGAGCTGTTCCAATTTGACGCTGTTGTACTATGAACATCTTAATGACTATGAAGAGCAGAGCAGATGGCTTTGGGCATCTGTTCATCTAAATTCTGTTACTCTCTTCTTTCCTTTTCCAAATATCAATGCAAACCAAACCAGAATATACAGTTGGGCAGGTCACATTTTATATCTTTTTTTAGATCCAGAGTTCATTTAAGAGCAACTAAACAAATAATGGAACAAAACCAACTCCAAGTTCAGGATGAGACATGATACCCAGCAAACTGTTTCAGAAGAAATAAAGACAGCAGAGCAAATCTGTTTGGCCCTTCACTATACAAAACCTGGGAAAGGCAATCTGCATGCTGGCAATCTGAATGCTGTCTTTAACTCATAGCCACTCAATGGGAGAATGATTCCCATTTTTTCAATTAAGTGAATTCTGATGTGAACCCCCACATGAATCCTCCCCAGCTATTTAGTGGCTCTTCACCAGCATCACCAGAAATGCACATTTAAACATCTGCCACATGGGCGAATTAAAGATGATTCTTCTACCAAGCCCTCAACATATAACGCTGACAGAGGATATTCCCCCCAGAAAAAAAAACACATCGACCTATTCCATGATATGGCAGAGCAGAGCATAACCCAGACATTTTGCCTGACCCTTTTACAGGTCATTAGACTGCATAGGACAATTCTGAAAACAAGTTAATTTATGATAATAAGGTTTTTATAAAGACTTTGTTGTCCAAGTCATGGGAGCTATATTCTTGTTAGACTCTTTACTGAGCCATCCTAACAACAGGAGCCAAAAGCACTACAGTATTCTAAATAAATGTGGTAATTTTTGACAATGCTCTCTCTTAAGAATTATTAAAAATCAGAATTAAATATAAGTCTTACACAATAGAAAAGGTGAGAAAACCCAACTAACTACAGAACTGGAAAGGCGTTCTTATTATTGGAGTCTTATTTATGATTATTGTCTCATTTTTATTATTGGAGTCCTATTATATAGTAGTGAAGAACAATGCTGGGACCTTTGGGCAGCACTATTCTACTGACAAAGCAGTAAGGATTCAACCCAACAAGCAACACTGACTGCAAGAAAATACTGAGAAGAAACAGAAACACAAAACTCAGTAGTAGGCCAAAAAACATGTCAAAACAAATCAAGATCACTGATGAACTTTTAAAGTGTTGCATGCCCAACCTGGAGCAATCACCCAAAATTCTCTTTTATCAGAAGGTGAAATTAGTCTCTCAGCAAAGGTCAAAAATCAATTTTCAGTAATAAGAACAGATTTTCTACATCAACATAGTTCACCTTCACCTTGCTCTTTCAGACCAAATTAGTCTGCCTCTTCAATCTCATCTCAACTAGAACTTTTCTGGACCTTTTGAAACAAGAAGTTTCTAACTTTGACAAAGTCTATGTTTAGCTTTTATGGTCTGGGAGAGTCCTCATGTGGCCAGCAGACCTTCATGGACTCCTGCCACTGAGTAGGTGCTTCTTTATGTGCTTTAAAAAACCAAAGAAATCCCTGAAACCCCAAACCTCAAGAAGTTTCCATTGCTGCCAATGTAAAGAAACTCTTATGCATTTTGGTAACATCCATTCGCCAGTAAAACAAGACTATAAATTTTCCTCTTGCTGCTTACAAGCATGCCAACAAACCCAGAAAATCTTCATATTTAATAAATCCAAGAAATTCCCAGGAAATTCCATAATAAGATTCTGCCTCCCATTCCCTCTTGAAAAATCTTCAGAAACACAACTAGGACTGCCAGCACCTCTGCCTACCTTCAACTTTAAAAAAGAATTTAATAACAATTAAAAAGCAGCTCCCAAACTAATCAAGCATCCCCTCCCCAAGTCCCGACTCTCATCAGCTTTCCACTCCTTGAGCCCCTCATTCTTGGAGCCCTCTCTTCACCCTTGTCTCTACAAATGGACAATCTGAACGCTCTTAACAGTTCTAATCTCAGCATATGATGTCTCAGATTATCACAAAAATCATCATACATCATGGGGATAAATATCTGCTAAGATAAATATCTGCTAAGGCAGGAATTCAGCTTCTTATTTCTTGACATGAGAAAAAGACATTAGCATGCTCTAACTCATGTCGGACCACTGAATACATAGAACACGAAGAGCATTTCTTCAAATTTTAAACATACATATGCATTTGCATCCTTCCATTCTGTATCCAATGTTCTTCTCCCTTCCCCCAGTTCATTAAGTTGCTATGTTCTGTAAACGCTGTGACTTCCTCTTTTTAGTGTCAAAGGGTGTGTGTTTATTTGTGAATAATTTGCTTCATGGGTTATTTTCCCCTCATTATTTGTGGGAACGAAGACTGGCACTACAAAATGAAGGGCAGCTCAAAGCAAGGACATGTTCATTAAAATACAAATGAGGTTGCCCGAAGGGCAAGGTGCAAGATACACAGCTTCCATCTTTCAGCATGGTCTGGGATGCTGCCAGGAGGCAGACTCTTATACTACAATCACAGGGAAGCAACAGGTGACAGGGAATGCCCATGGATACCTTGCCTTCACCCAAGAGATGGGGCTGTCATTTCAAGGAGAAAGTGCATGAAGTCACACTTCCACTTCTATACCTGGGGACCGCACATGCTATTGCAGACCATGCCTGCCAACACCAGAAGAACCCATGCCAGACATAGATAGGGCGTGGACAGCATAAGCAACAAGCCCAACACCACAGGGCTGCAGCACCCTCTGTGCAGATGTTATGCAAAGTGGACAACTGCGAGCAGCACTTTTGACTGGCCTTTGCCTGTTCAGTTAACAGAATGTCTGTAACACTTCAGCAGATACTGCAAAATACCCATTTACTCCTTCATTATTCAGTGAACCAATATGACTTACTCAGCCCAGAAGGACAACAGCCTATTTCTGAACTGCTTTTAATGCAACAAGGTGTTTTGTCCCCTTTTTTGCTATTCATCTTTTCCTATCTCTTCTTGATGCTCTACAACTCACCTCAACATTGCTCATCAGCAGAGCCCATCATCATGTTATTTGAGCACTTTTGTTGCAGCATCTGGGCTCAGTGC